TGTGGTCCCTTCACAATCCACAGCCCTGCTGCAACTGGGACGCAAAGAAGGGGGAGTATGTATTTCCCGCCAAGAAGAAGCTGCAGGAATACCGGGTCTTAATTACCACACTCATCACGGCTGGCAGGTGGGGAATATGTGTGGGTGTGTCTCTGAATCGTAAGTTTAATTTAAGGGGTCACAGGCTGGGAGATGGGGAAGAATGGTTTCTGGGGGGTGGTCGGATGAGGAGCCAGCCTGGGAAAGCATTCAGGTTTGGTAGCTGGGTGCCTGGATATGACCCCTGCCTGGCCTGACACCTCCCAGGTTGGTCTCGGCCCAGTTTCCCATTGATCACTTCACACACATCTTCATCGATGAGGCTGGCCACTGCATGGAGCCTGAGAGTCTGGTAGCTATAGCAGGTGAGGGACTCAGGTGGGGCTGCAAATGTACGCCCTATGTGGGGTCAGAGAGGTTGCACCACTGACCTTTGTCCCCACACCTCTTCCGCTTCCCAGGGCTGATGGAAGTAAAGGAGACAGGCAATCCAGGAGGGCAGCTGGTGCTGGCTGGAGACCCTCGGCAGCTAGGGCCTGTGCTGCGTTCCCCACTGACCCAGAAGCATGGGCTGGGGTACTCACTGCTGGAGCGGCTGCTCACCTATAACTCCCTGTACAAGAAGGGCCCTGATGGCTATGACCCCCAGTTCATAACCAAGCTGCTACGCAACTACAGGTATTCCCACGCCCTTGCCTCCTCTGCTATGTCCCATGCTTCACACCCTGCGTGTAGCCCCTGCTGGAGAGTCTGGCTTGCAGTCCTGTTGCCCAGAGACTGTGTGATGTAGAAAGACTAAACCGGAAGGTAGGAGGTCTCCTTTCTAGAGCCGGCACTGCTGCTCGTTGTCTGCGTGACATAGCCAGTGGTTACATACTACACCAGTTGGTTTATCTGCATCCAAGGGGGTGGTCAGTGGTTCCTAGAGGCTAGGATGTGTCTTGTAACCAGTCCCAGATGAAGTTTTCAGGCAATCCAAGGAGAAATAAGGAAAATAGGAAGGAAGCCGGGCACAGTGGCTCATGCCTGTATTCCCAGCACTTTGGGATGCTGAGCAGGGCAGATCACTCAAGGTCAGCAGTTTGAGACCAGCCTGGCCAACATGGTGAAACCCCATCTCTACTAAAAATAACAAAAATTAGCCAAGGGGCCTGTAATTCCAGCTACTGGGGAGGCTGAGGTAGGAGAATTGCTTGTACCCAGGAGGTGGAGGTTGCAGTGAGCCGAGATCACAGCACTGTACTATAGCCTGGGCAACAGAGCGAGACTCTATCTCAAAAAAAAAAAAGTGGGGGGGGGGAGATACAGTTTTTTCATAAACCTTTTGGTATTCAAATTCAAGAGCTGTATAGTTTTAGTGAATGAGTTCAGCCATTGAAAATGCTTAGTTGAGTTTTAGGCTGTCACTAAGAGTTTAATAAATGTTAGCTCTTGTGTCATCACGACTTAGATTTTTGTATTTAACACATTGTCGCATCATATAACAGCGATAGTCAAGAAGAATTTGGTTTCATACTGTCCTTGGCAAATGTGAAACCTGACACTTGGCCTGTAATTTTTTAGTTTTAAATTTTATGGGTCTGTGAAGTCCCTGGACTAGATGCTCTTCGGGACCATATTTGGTTCTGCTTTCTGTGGTTTACAGTGCCTGGCAGCAGATATTATGGATGAGTGTCCCGCTAGCCAGGGAGCCAGGGGGACAGAAGGCTACGTGTGTGGGCCCGCAGTGGGTAGAACCGGCCCCCTGTGGGGCAGAGGGAATCTGACCCTTGGTCTTGCTCTTCCTTCCTCCTCCTGCCCCCCAGGTCTCATCCCACCATCCTGGACATTCCTAACCAGCTCTATTATGAAGGGGAGCTGCAGGCCTGTGCTGATGTTGTTGATCGAGAACGCTTCTGCCGCTGGGCAGGCCTGCCTCGACAGGTGAGGCCGAGCAGGGCAGGGGCACAGGCCCCCACCCCATACCCTGACTTCCCTCGCACTGAAGGTGCGCCCCCCTCCCTTTGTCATCTTGGCCTGGGATCTCTTATTTTCTGGAAGGGTTTGGGAAGGGAGGGTATAGAGAGGGTGGTCTGGCTGAGGGTTTCCCCTGACCCCATGTCCAGGGCTTTCCCATCATCTTTCATGGCGTAATGGGCAAAGATGAGCGTGAGGGCAATAGCCCATCCTTCTTCAACCCTGAAGAGGCTGCCACAGTGACTTCTTACCTGAAGCTGCTCCTGGCCCCCTCCTCCAAGAAGGGCAAAGCCCGCCTGAGCCCCCGAAGCGTGGGCGTCATCTCCCCATACCGGAAACAGGTCAGGTCCTCGGTTACCAGCAAGGGTGGGACCCCTCCCCCAGAGGGCACTTCCTTAATATCCGGACCACTAGGCAGAGGCTTCTGAAGCTCGGGCCTCTGCTGGCTCCCGATCTCAGAAGAGCACCTAGGTCAGCTGCCTTCCCTTTGTTCCCCAGCTCTCTGGCCGCCTGCCAGGCTCCCTCTTGCATGAGGTTAATGGCATGAGAGAAAAGCACCCGTCCCCTCCTTCCAGGTAGAGAAAATCCGTTACTGCATCACCAAACTTGACAGGGAGCTTCGAGGACTGGATGACATCAAGGACTTGAAGGTGACACGCTGTTCCACACTCCCTGCCTTCTGTGTGCCCTGACCCACCCACTTCCAGAGACTTCCTCAAGCTTCCGCTCCAGTCCAGCCCACATCCCCATCCCACCCCTGCTGCCCGGAATGGAGCTGAGCTCTCCCCAAGCCTCTCACTCCTGGAGATTCCAGCCTCAGGGTCTGGGATGGGATCAGGAAGCCTGCATGTTTAAGGAGCACCTCCTGTCATTCTTAGACTCAGGCAGATTAGAGGCCTCTGCCCTAAGGATAAAGTCCAAACTCCGGGGCCTATCATGTGAGGCTTTCACCCCGGCTCTCTTTCCCCAGTAGCCTCTTCCTGTAAGGTTGTGGTCTCCACACTGGGTGCAGATAACAATCACCTGGAGAGCTTTTAATACCACAGCCCCTGCCAGGGCCCCACCCACCAGTTCATACAGCTATGGGGCAGAGCCAGGGCACAGAGAATTTTTACAGCTTCTCGGGTGATTCTAATAGGCAGCCAGGGTTGAAAACCAGCGCTTTAAAACTTATAGGCCTCTCTCTTGGAAATTCTGATCAGGGGGTCTGGGTTAGGGCCCAGGGTTGTATACTTAGTGATTATTTTCAGGAAAGTTTGAAAGTCACTGCTCTGAGTCCTGTGGTCTTTGCAATGCTGTTTCCTTTCCATAGAACACTTCACAGGCTCCCCCGTTCAATGGGATTCACCCTTAAGGTTTCGGCTCCCACAGCCTGCCTACCATCCCCTTTCCCTGGGCAGTGTTGCGTTTACTACACTGATCTACAATTGCCCAGTGACTTCTCTGTACCCTCCTTAAAAGTCAGGCTCCCTGGGGTAGGGCAACCCCTTGACACCCCTGGCTGCTCTCAGGCCCCGCCTCTTCCCCCTACAGGTGGGTTCCGTGGAAGAATTCCAAGGCCAAGAACGGAGCGTCATCCTCATCTCTACCGTGCGAAGCAGCCAGAACTTTGTGCAGCTGGATCTGGACTTCAACCTGGGTTTCCTGAAGAACCCCAAGGTTTGAGGGCTGGTCGGGCTGGCAGGAATTCTTCCCTCCTCGGGGCCCTTCCTGCCCATGACCACACCACCTCTTCTTTGCAGAGGTTCAATGTCGCTGTGACCCGGGCCAAGGCCCTGCTCATCGTGGTGGGCAACCCCCTTCTCCTGGGCCATGACCCCGACTGGAAAGTGTGAGCATTCCCACCCCATTCTCCCTCTCGGTGGCCGCGGCCCCATGCCTACGGCGGATCTCTTTTAAACACTTGCTTATGGCTCAGTTAATCCTCAGATGTGTCCATTTTCACAGCACCCCTATTGTATTTGTAAGTTACACGACACCTGGAGGTTGAGCAAGTACAGCTCAGATGTGACAGGACTGAGGCTTAGCCTCCAGTCTCTGCTGGCACTCCTCTGTACCCCACAGATTCCTGGAGTTCTGTAAAGAAAACGGGGGGTATACCGGGTGTCCCTTCCCTGCCAAACTGGACCTGCAACAGGGACAGAATTTACTGCAAGGTCTGAGCAAGCTCAGCCCCTCTACCTCAGGTAAGGCTGGGCCAGGGTGGGCCAGGTTGGCGACAGTGCCCGAGGAGGTGGTAAGGAAGACAAAGTGTACTTTCTTTCTTTCCAGGGCCCCATGGACACGACTGCCTCCCCCAGGAGCGGGAGGGTGAAGGGGGCCTGTCCCTGCAAGTGGAGCCAGAGTGGAGGAATGAGCTCTGAAGACACAGCACCCAGCCTTCTCGCACCAGCCAAGCCTTAACTGCCTGCCTGACCCTGAACCAGAACCCTGTCTCTGAACCAGAACCCAGCTGAGCTGCCCCTCCAAGGGACAGGACGGCTGGGGGAGGGAGTTTACAACCCAAGCCATTCCACCCCCTCCCCTGCTGGGGAGAATGACACATCAAGCTGCTAACAATGGGGGGAAGGGGGAGGAAGAAAACTCTGAAAACAAAATCTTGTTCTATGCAACAGCCTTGATAATGTCTCCTCTCCCTGGCCCCAGCTTCCTGAGCCCCCAGGCTGACCCAGCAGGGAAGGGTGGGACTGTCAGCCCTGCTCTGGGTCACACCCCCTCGAAGCTGGAGAGGAACCCAGCCCCCACACCCAGGGGGAGGAAACCCAGTGGGAGGTGGCAGGGAAGCCACCCACAGGTTTCTAAGTTTAGCCCCTGCCACAGACCACTCCCCTCACCCGCCTCCTCAGCCCAGAGCCAGGCATGACCTCATCCTTTGCTCTAACACTCCACCCTGCCGGCCACTGGCCTGCTTTGCAGATAGGGGGCCAGGCTGGCAAGCAACTTGGCCGTGAAAAGAGGTGGGACACCATGCACCCAGAGGAAAGACAGGAAGCTGCCACACGTTAGACCCTGTGGCCTTTATTCATGCCCCCCTGACCAAATGCAGAGACGAGGCCCTTAACCGAAAACAACTCCAGGGGCCTGGGACTCTAGGGTCCCCTACCGCAGACACTTTGCTGTGAGCCAGAAGTGTATAAAGTGCTGGTGTGTGACCATCCTTTGGGGAAGATTAAAGGCGGCACGCGCCCCAGGGGCCCTGAGGAAGGGCAGGGCAGCGCCCGGCTCCCAGAGCACTGGGAGGGAGGGCCCGCGCCACCACCTTGGGGCTGAGAAACTTCAATGCAGTCCTGGGCAGGAGGGAACTGAGAAGGGAGCCGTCAGCACGGAGCCTTCAGGAGGCTGGGGTTGTAGGGTGGTAATTTCTGTACCCCTGTGAAGGGAGGGGGCATGTAGGAGAGGCCTTGGGGATCTCAGAGAATGGGGCAGCCCCTCCGGCGCTTGTTCTTGCGGACCTGGAGGCCAGCCCGAGTGGCCATCTCAAACACCTCCCGCACTCCCTCCTTGGTCTTGGCTGAGCACTCAAGGTAGCCAAAGGCACTGATCCGGTTCGCCATGTCTCGGCCTTCCTCAGACCGAACAGGCTCCTGAGAAGACAGATGATGAGGAGTCAAAGGAAGCTGATGGCTAGAAGAACGTCACCCATAAGTGTAGGAGCTGGAACAAATGCCTCCTCCTCCAGCCCTGACCCAAAAAGCGCCCAGGCCCCAGCTACCCTGGGCAGCTTCGGGGCCAGGGATTTAAAATCTCGTCTATTCCCTCTGCTGCCATCCAGCCCCGCCACAGTCCCCAGTTCTCCTGCCTGAATGAGCGCCTCCCACCTCCTGACTGACGGCTCTGCCTCCCTCCTTACTCTCCTCCAGTCAGAATTATTTTCCTAACAAACAGTCAGACCTAACATCTCCCCAGTTTGAAACTTTGCCATAATTATCTGCAGTTCTTATCCTGATAGCTTTCTCTAATAAACTCTAGTCCTCTGGCTAGAGAGCCACTTACAGGTCCCTGAATAAGCCAGCTCTCTCACCCGTTCTTCCAGCCACTTAGACAATGCCCGCCCTTACTCCCACATCAGGGGCACTGTGATGGCACAGCCTGGGTACTCCCAAGTGAAACATAAGCTGTCTCCCTGAGGGCCGATTTTCTTTTTTTTTTTTTTGAGACAGAGTTTCACTCTTGTTACCCAGGCTGGAGTGCAATGGCGCGATCTCGGCTCACCGCAACCTCCGCCTCCTGGGTTCAAGCAATTCTCCTGCCTCAGTCTCCCGAGTAGCTGGGATTACAGGCGCATGCCACCATGCCCAGCTAAGTTTTGTATTTTTAGTAGAGACGGGGTTTCACCTTGTTGACCGGGATGGTCTCGATCTCTTGACCTCGTGATCCACCCGCCTCGGCCTCCCAAAGTGCTGGGATTACAGGCGTGAGCCACCGCACCCAGCCGGGCCGATTTTCTTAATCATCTTAATAGTCCCAATTCTAAACAGAATGGACAATTAGCTGGAATAAATAAAAATGCCAAGTGACTTTGGACAAGTCACTTCACTCTCTGATACATCATCAGATACTGATGATACAACCGTAGGTGTCCTCCCTCACCAGGAGAGATCACCATCTCCCCTAACACAGCAGTAGCTGGAGAGAAGCTCCCTTTGCCCATCTGCAACCCCTCAAAAGATGCCTTCCTCCCCGAGGGCTCCCACCCGGCAGCCGCACCCACCTGCTTCATCTTGGCCAGCTCTCTCCTGGTGTGCTCATCTTGCCTCAGGTCCTTCTTATTCCCCACTAGGATGATGGGCACGTTGGGGCAGAAGTGCTTCACCTCTGGGGTCCACTTCTCAGGAATGTTTTCTGTGCAGACATGCCCCAACAGGTGTCGGTGCCTCCACTTAAGCTAGAAAGCTCCCCTGGGTGGGGGTAGGGGGCTCATCTTCCCATAGCAGAGTCTTAGAAGCCATTCGGCATGAGGTCCCTTTCACAGCTCAAAACCTCAACAACGCTATGCTCTCTGAGGGCCAGCTACCACAGTAAAGGAGACCAACAGGGCCCGAGCTCTCCCCTGCATCCCCGCCCCCACCTCTGAGGTTAACTGAAGACAGGCCAAGGCACGAGACCTCTGACTGATTCCAAGGGTTCTCAGTCCCCTCCCGCAATCCCCTCACCCAGGCTGTCGGGGCTGTCGATGGAGAAGCACATGAGGATGACATCAGTGTCGGGGTAGGAGAGAGGCCGCAGTCGATCGTAGTCTTCCTGTCCTGCTGTGTCCCACAGAGCCAGCTCCACCTGACACACAGGGCCAGTGAGTAGCTGGCCTGAAGGCCCCAACCCTGCCACCCAAAGGTCCTCTGAAACCACTGTCCTTCAGGCTCACTGAACATCTTTATTGAGCACCTGCTATGTGCTAGGCATTGTATTCATCACTGTCCCACAACACAAATGAGGTCAGTTTGTTAAAGAACTCTACCACACGTGTTTGACCCTTGAGTTGCCATTGTGAGGATCATTATTTTGGTTAATTCTCACAACAACCCTTTGAGGGAGGTCTTACCATCATCCCCATTTTGCAGGTGGGGGAGCTTAAACCCAGAGGCAAAGGGGGACTCAGCCCAGGTTACAGAGCCAGTCAGTCTGTGGGAGAACCAGAAAGTATATCCTGGTTTGTTTTTTTTTTTTTTGAGACGGAGTTTCGCTCTTGCTACCCAGGCTGGAGTGCAATGGCGCGATCTCGGCTCACCGCAACCTCCGCCTCCTGGGCTCAGGCAATTCTCCTGCCTCAGCTTCCTGAGTAGCTGGGATTATAGGCACGCGCCACCATGCCCAGCTAATTTTTTGTATTTTTAGTAGAGACGGGGTTTCACCATGTTGACCAGGATGGTCTCGATCTCTTGACCTCGTGATCCACCCGCCTCGGTCTCCCAAAGTGCTGGGATTACAGGCTTGAGCCGCCGCACCCGGCTATCCTGGTTTTTTAAGACTGCAGATTCACTCCCTAACGTTTACTGGATCCAGCAGGGAGAATGAAGCAAGGACATGGGTAGGAGTGGGGAAGGATGCACTAGGTCACAAGTGACTGGGGGCGGGGTCTCAAGGCGGGGTGGGGAGGGGCTCTCTGCCTTCACCTGTTTGCCGTCCACTTCAATGTCCGCAATATAGTTCTCAAAGACAGTAGGCACGTAGACTTCTGGAAACTGATCCTTGCTGAAGACGATGAGGAGGCAGGTCTTCCCACAGGCACCATCCCCGACGATCACCAGCTTCTTTCGGATTGCAGCCATGGTAGGGCTGCCGGACAAGAGGCATTGGGGATTTGAGGAAAAGCCATTAAGTCCAAAAACACTTCTCCAGGGCCCCCCACAAACCTCTCTGGAAACTGAGGCACCTAGCAAAGGGGCAGGGAGCTTGCTCAGGCATGTTCTCGCCAAGAACCAATTGTGGGGTCAACAGAGCTTAAAATTCCTAAACTCTGGGTCAGGGACAGGTCTCCCTCAATGGGTTAGGTAGGAAACAGCAGTGGGAGGTGGAGGATGACCCCACTCGGGAGCTGGAAAACATGAGTTTCAATCTAATCCACTCGCCAGCCTGGGGACTCCAGGTACCCAGAGAGCTGCTCAGGGATGCGGGACACCCAGGGAGCGATCTTCTATCTACTTCACACATCAGGGTTTCGAGTCAGACTTCGTTACCAGGATTTTGATGCATTTACCGTTTAATAATCTCTAAGGTCTAATCTAGAACAGACTGTCCCTCAGCACAAATCATACCTGCCCAGTCACAAATGAGGAGTCCCTCTCTAAGACCAGAGTAGCAGAACCAGCTACCAGGTGGTAAGCAGGTAAGGGAAGAATAGTTATAGAGCCCCTAGGCGCCAGGCACCCTGTTGGGCATTTTGGCAGAAATTCTCTCCTTCAGTCCCTAGATACCTGGAAGGTAGATGGTGCATTTTCCATTTTGCCAAACTACGAAACTAAGGCTCAGTGAGGTTAAGACACAGATTCAGAGCCGTGGCTTGAAAGCGGCAGGGATAGTACCCAAAGCAGGACTGTGTGACTCAAAGCAGGACGGTGTGACTCAAAACCGTGCCTCTTCAAAATGTCACCTCAGCGGTGAGAAGGAGAGCAGAAGCAGGGAAACCCAGACAGAGGACAGCCAGCCGGCTTCCCTGGCCCACCGCGCCCGGTCCCCAGAGCCCCAAGTCATACAAAGGAGGCTCAGTCCCAGCAGTGCCCACAGCTCGAGTTTGGGCAGCCTGCCTTCCTCCCCCCTTCCTCCTGGGCCTGCCAGCAACACTGGGTCACTCAGCCCCCGGCAGGGGACAATGACCACACTGTAGGGAGCCACGCAGCCACCACAGCACAGTGACTAGGAAGCATCCACCAGGGAATCACCTCCACCCACTCTGGAACAGCCCCTTCCTCCCTCAGTCCAGCTCACCCACGGGCCCTGCCCACCCCTCCCTGTGACTCAGGGCAAGGAGTCAGCTCCCCGGGCTTCCATGTGTCCCCCACCCCTAGCACACACGAACGAGCATCTGCACAGTTCATCACACCTTCGAAGCTTCGCTCACTTCCTCCTTCCCTGGGGAGGGGAGCTGACCTGCAGCCGGCTGAAGTTCCCAGGCTGCAGGAAGAGAGGGCGGGCTCTGGAGCTGAGATGAAGTCAAGGCTGTTGGGAAGGGGGAGGGGGCTAGAGTCTGGGCTGGGTGGAGCCCCAAAAGAAGCGACAAATGAGGGCCAGCCCCAGCACCAACCAGGCAGGGAGCAGTTGAGAAAGCGCCGGTAACCTGATCTCTGCCCCGAACCCAGCTTTTCTCTCAGTCCCACATCCTGTCAAACTGGGCTGAGCTCCTCTGTGGCCGATATCCCACCACCACCTCACACTGCCCTTCAGGAAGCGAAGACTCCAGCCCCAGGCCTGTTCCTTCAACAGTAGATCCTGGGTGGCCCTTCCCTTGCCTCCACATACATTCACAAAACTCGATGTTGGTTAGTGGACATAAGGCAGAGAATTTACAGGAGTTCAAAGTACACAGCTGCACTCTTTCCACCACAATGAGATTCTCATTCTCTCTCTCTCCCGGATTCCCCAGAAGACAGGCAAGAAGGCATCCACTCTGGCAGCTGATCGCCTCCAGAAATGGAAACCATCCTCCAAAAAGAGGGTACCTTGGGCATTCTACCCAGATGACTGACGCTAGGATTTCTTCCAACTCCTCCGCCCACTGCCATTAGTTCACCTTGCCCTGTTATGCAAGGATGGGCTGAGGTAGCCCCAACATGGGGTGGGCAGTGCTGATGGCCGGCCATCACTACTGGGGTGAAAGCCAGTCACAGGTATGAGTATGCTACTGCTGTCCCACTAACAGAGTAATTCAGATGGCACCAGACTGGTGGGAGGCACAGGGCAGAAAGCCGGTGAAGGGCCCTGGAGCCTCCAGCTCAACTAGAACACTTTCCCTCCAGGCTATGGGTTGGGCCAGAAGTGCCAGCGGCCCAGGCCAGGCCAGTACACCAGGTCCAAGGCCAAGATGGCACGGACAACTCCCTGCGAGACGCAGCCCCAGAGGGACTGTCCCACTGACCCTTTAAGAGGGGCAACCGAATCCCACACAGGGCCTGGAATGGAGCCTGGAACTTCTGGGGCCTTCCCCAAGACAAGACGGTGTGGAGACACCAGACCTCTCTCCAATCACTCTCTTGAATTCCCAGAAGATCGGGTTGCCTTTGCCGACCCACCCTAAACCTAGAGAAGGAATCGTTCTGGAGATACCAGGAGATACCGCATTCTCAACTTTAAAACCAGAGTGAGGGTGGAACTCGGCCTCGGGACCCCAGCCCCAAATCCCAGGATACACTTTCTTGGTTTGAGTATGAAGGAGGAGGAAGATTCTCATTCTCATTCTCATTCTCTCTCTCTCTCTCTCTCTCTCTCTCTCTCTCTCTCTCTCTCACACACACACACACACACTCACACACACACACACACACTCACACACACACGACTTGGATCCTTCCCATCTCCCTTATCCTCAACACAAGCGGGCTCCAGGAACCGTCTAGGGCGGCGTCCAGCCCCGGCCGAACAGCGGCAGGTCCCGGCGGTCACATCCCGCCCCTATTCCCGCCAAGCCTCCCTCCTGGCCTGGAGGAATTCCCACCCCATCCCACCCCAGGTCCCCTGCGGCCGCCCGCCCCGGGGGGCTGGAGCGTCCGAGCCGAGGCTCCCTCGCCCTGTGCCCGGCGGGGCAGGTTCCGGGAAGCCGGGAGGAGAGGGCAAGGGGCTCCGACTCGGACCTCTGGAGGCCAGAGCCCCCGCGGGCAGGTCCGCGGCCCCCACTGCAGGCCCGACCCCCGCCCGACCGGACGCCTGCTCCGCGCGGAGGGAACGGGGTCCACGCACCGGGCCGAAGCCCCCTCCCCGCCCGCGCCCCGATCTCCGGGTGAGCGAGGAAGGGAAAGTGCTCTCTCGGGGCCGAGTTTCCTGCGCGCCCCGCCGCCCGCCGCCCCGGCCCCGGGTACCTTCCGCTGCGCCGCCTCCAGCTGCGCGGCCGGTGCCGGAGGCTCGGACTGACCCCGGGGCGCGCCCCGCCCTCCTCCAGCGCCGCGGCGGGGAGGGCGGTTCCGGCAGGGGGAGGGTCGGCCGGGGACGGCCTTGGCTCGGCCCGCCCCGGCCCCGCGCAGCGCCGCTGGGGCTCGTCCCCTCCGCGGGCCGGGGGCGTCTACCCTGCCAGGTCAGGGAGAGCCACGGGGAGGTTCCCGGACTGCGGAGGAGCCGGGCGAGCGGGGCGAGGCGGACCCGGGTGGACTCAGCCCCTGCCCAGCCTTCCAGCCCCTAGGGGAGGACCGGCGTCGGGAAAGTTGAGAGCGGCTCGGGGTGGGGTCGGGAAGGGCCGCTGCTGCCCTCCTGCGGCCGAGCGGCCGCGCGCTCCTTCCCGCACCTGGGACCTCGGGAGGCGGGGCTGGGAAACGGCAGCCCCGGGACGCCCCAGGGGCCCGCGCGGGGGTGGGGGTTGGCGGAGGGCTGTCCACCCTTTTGCTCCCAGAATCGTTGCAGAGTAAGTACAGCTCAACGTCGTCCCCCAAACTTGAAGACCTTTCAGAGCCGTTCAGACCCAGACCACCGTTCTTCCTCCCAATTCCCTTTCTTCCCCTGGCCTGGAATTTCCAGGAGTCGAATTCCTACCTACTCCTCAAAGGGTGCTTCTAGAAGTGCTTCCGGATCCCAGGTGGGAATTCTGTTCCCACTCCTAGATCTGACTTGGCGCATAGGGTCTTTACCTATACGCGTTATCTCCTTTCCCTGTAAGGGAGCTGAGGAGGTGGCAATAGAATGAGCACGTCCACCATTTTATTGGCTTGTGCTTGGGACACTACACAGCTCAACCCTGTCAATATTCATCACAGATCTTTGGGGTAAGTATACCCATTCCCTTTTGCCTGTAGGCAAGTTGAGGCTCAGAGAAATCAAGCGGCTTACACAAATGTTTTTGACTTGTGACAGCAAGAATTCATACAGCCGAGCCTGTCTGGCTCCAAATTGTGGTCTAGCTCTGCTACTTCTTAGGCTCCTCCAGCCCGTCCCTTCCCCGGTTGTCTAGCACAGTGAGTGGCACATAATAGGTTATCAAAAAATATTTGATGAATGAATGAATGTTAGGAGTCATACAGACTTTAAATATCTGAAGTACAATCCAGAGATTTGACAAATGTGAAAACTGAGGTCCACAGCAGTTTGATCCCTCTTAATTGGCTCGATAAATCCTTGAGGGTGAACTGAGAGCTATGTTCCGAAGATCCATTTCTGCCTTCAAACAATTTAGCGTCTAAATGAGGAATACAGACCATTTCAAGATAGCTAACATTTATTGAATCCGTTTAACATGGACCTGGGTCCACATACATTACAACAATCCCATGAGGTAGCTGCCTCCATTTTACTGAGGAGCAAATTGAGGTTCACAGAGGTTACAGAGCTAGTGTTGGGTCTGACACCATAACGCAAAAAGCTGAACTCTAGAGTCCCTGTTCTTCATTGTTACTCCCAACTGACTCCTAATGTAGATAGTTATAATACAGGAGGTCACTACTGTACTGGAGGCGTGTGTGGGCTCCAGGATACCCAGTCCTGAACAACAGGTGAAGTTTTCAAGATAAGGTGATGTGTAGATTTTTTTTTTTTTTTTAGACGGAGTTTCGCTCTTGTTACTCAGACTGGAGTGCAATGGCGCAATCTCAACTCATCGCAACCTCCATCTCCTGGTTGTGTAGATTTTTAAAATACTTTTTTTTGAGACAAGGCCTCTGTTGCCCAAGTGTGCAGTGGCAAGATCTCGGCTCACTGTAGCCTCAAGTTTCCAGGCTCAAGTGATTCACCTACCTCAGCTTCCACCACATCTAATTTTTGCATTTTTTTTTTTTTTTTTTTTTTTTTTTGAGACGGAGTTTCGCTCTTGTTACCCAGGCTGGAGTGCAATGGCACGATCTCGGCTCACCGCAACCTCCGCCTCCTGGGTTCAGGCAATTTTCCTGCCTCAGCCTCCTAAGTAGGTGGGATTACAGGCACGCGCCACCATGCCCAGCTAATTTTTTTTTGTATTTTTAGTAGAGACGAGGTTTCACCATGTTGACCAGGATGGTCTCGATCTCTTGACCTCGTGATCCACCCGCCTCGGCCTCCCAAAGTGCTGGGATTACAGGCGTGAGCCACCGCACCCGGCTAATTTTTGCATTTTTTGTATACATGGAGTCTTGCTATATTGCCCAGGCTAATGAGGGGCCTTTTCTAATTAACTTATTTTGCTGATCTTTATTTTTGCTTCCCTTTGCTTACTTTGGGTTTAATTTGCTGTTCTTTTTCTGGCCTCTTAAGGTGGAAACACAGATCACCGATTTGAGATCTTTATTCCTTTCCACTACAAGCAATGCTCCTTGGATGCTTAACTGCTTCCCAGAGACACTCACCACCACACCACCTATTTTTTTTTTTTTGAGACGGAGTTTCACTCTTGTTACCCAGGCTGGAGTGCAATGGTGCGATCTTGGCTCACCGCAACCTCCGCCTCCTGGGTTCAGGCAATTCTCCTGCCTCAGCCTCCTGAGCAGCTGGGATTACAGGCACGCGCCACCATGCCCAGCTAATGTTCTGTATTTTTAGTAGAGACAGGGTTTCACCATGTTGACCAGGATGGTCTCGATCTCTTGACCTTGTGATCCACCCGCCTCGGCCTCCCAAAGTGCTGGGATTACAGGCTTGAGCCACCGCGCCCAGCCCACCACCTATTTTTTAAATTCTTTGTAGAGTTGGGGTCTTGCTATTGTGCAGACTGGTCTTGAACTCCTAGGCTTAAGCAATACTCCCACCTCTGCCTCCCAAAGTGTTGGGATTACAGGTGTAAGCCACCATGCGTGGCAGTAGATTTTGAGTAAGTTGGAGCTACTAAAAGCCCACAGTTATGCGAACCCCAGGAGGTTGGTGGTGGTGGTGAAAAATGAGGCTGGAGAAGGAAGCAGTGGCTGGATCATGAAAGTCCTTATATGCCTCGCACAGGAGTTGAGTGTTGATTTTGTTCTAGGTGCAACAAGGAGCCACTAAATTTAGGAGGCTGATATAGTAAATGTGGTGGTGAATGGGGGTAGGAGAGGTGGAGATAAGTAGAAATATATTTTTAAAGGTCTATAGTCAGCTGGGCGCGGTGGCTCAAGCCTGTAATCCCAGCACTTTGGGAGGCCGAGGCGGGTGGATCACGAGGTCAAGAGATCAAGACCATCCTGGTCAACATGGTGAAACCCCGTCTCTACTAAAAATACAAAAAAGTAGCTGGGCACGGTAGCACATGCCTGTAATCCGAGCTACTCAGGAAGCTGAGGCAGGAGAATTGCCTGAACCCGGGAGGCGGAGGTTCTGGTGACCCGAGATCGCGCCATTGCACTCCAGCCTGGGTAACAAGAGCAAAACTCCGTCTCAAAAAAAAAAAAAGGTCTATAGTCAACAATACTTAGTGATCAATTACCTTGGTGGCAAAGAAATGAAAGCCAAGGGTGACCAACTCCAAGATGTCTTAACTGGAGCAGCAGAGCTGGTGCCCACTGAGAGGATACACCAGGAGAAGGAAAATGTTTTTTGGTTTTTTGTGGTTTTTTTTGAGACGGAGTTTCACTCTTTTTGCCCAGGCTGTAGTACAGTGGTGCAATCTCGGCTCACCACAATCTCCACCTCCCAGGTTCATTCGATTCTCCTGCCTCAGCCTCCTAAGTAGCTAGGATTACAGGCACCCGCCACCGCAGCCAGCTAATTTAGTATTTTTAGTAGAGACGGGGTTTCTCCATGTTGGTCAGGCTGATCTCGAACTCCCGACCTCAGGTGATCCGCTGGCCTTGGCCTCCCAAAGTGCTGGGATTACAGGTGTGAGCCAGCATGCCTGGTTGAGAAGCAACGTGTTATGGGGGGCAGTGGTGAGTTTAGTTTGAGGTGTGTTGAATTGAAGTGCCAACAGGCTGTCTAGGAGACGTTTGGGAGATGATTGGAATGTGTATTAAAGCACAGGAGG